TTGACTTCATCTATTACTTAGTCAGTGCTTGTAAATAAGTGTTAGTGATTTATTGAAGAAATATATAAACTCTAGATCAATTTTTACCTTGGCTTATTTTGTATCCTTACCGTACAATTTGATTGTGACAGTTAGATTTTTTGGGTTGATTGACGACTCAGATCTTCGAAAAGACCATTAGTCGCTTTTGACATTTTGTAGTTTGTTGACCACTTGACTCAGGTCTTACAAAGCCCGTATCTAGTTTGCTCGTTTTGTTCATCGCCTCGGTCTAGCCTCACCTTTTGCTAGGGCTTGGCCAGATTTTGTCGCTGCCTTTATGGGGCTAGCTGATGAGACTTGCTCACCGCAACATATGTTGAGTCTGAATATGCCATGTAGACATGCCCAAGACATAGAGCATGAGAATCTAGGGAGGAAGAGGGAGAGAGAGGGTGAGATAGGGTGAGAGAGAGAGAGAGAGAGAGAGAGAGAGAGAGAGAGAGAGAGAGAGAGAGAGAGAGAGCAAAAAAGAGAAGGTGATGTCACGCCTACCCTCAATAGGGCAAAGTGGGGTGTTCCCTAGGCTCGATGACACCTTTTATATATTAAAAGATTATTTACAAGAGAAAGGGAGCTGAAATGGCCTGAGTCCCCTTATACATAAAATTTTCTCATATTTATATATTATAGGAGGACAAAGATAAAAGTACATGTTTACCCCGTGAGTTATTTTTGTTAACATCTCCTCATATCCTAAATGCATTTTCGTACCGATAAGTACCTTTCCGTATCCATAGGTATTTTTTGGACGAACACAATACGTTATCAAAATATCTATTTTTAAGATTAAAATATATACAATGAAAAGTTTTTTTTTTCATTTTGTTAGGATCATTATTTATTTTTTAGCTACACTATTCAAATAAATTTATAATTCTAAGTCAAAGAGGTGACTCAAACCAAAGCGGGTGTATTGACTCCTCAAACTTTCACCACTATGCTATGGAATCGTGCCTTAAGAATAAAGATTATTATTGTGCTGGAAGAGTCATGACAATAGAGTGATAATTTAATACTTAACGTCGTATGATGATCCAACATTCACATATAATTTGAAAAGGTAGGAAGAGCCACCAACATTTTTTACGCGGAAAAAACTTAAAAAGTGAAAATATCATGAGGAATATTCCACTATAAACGTGCTATTACAAAGAGTGCAGCCATTCTTATAACTAGGAGAGCAGAGTTATAACTTTATACCTGATACTACGTTTGTCCATATATTACGTACATAAAACTTCAGAAATTTGAAGAAAGTTATCGTATTTTAAATACGATGGTTGTAATTAGTTGTCACATAGAGTTATTGTCGGATCTTTAATATGGTGTTATCCGTTACACTATATGCAATCAAGGTCGTTACATTGCATTAATGATACATTGCTACACCTTATTTTGGATATTTCGTTACACCATAAAGTTCGCTGACAATGGTGAGCTGAGACGAATGGCGGTGGTCAACGACAACCAACAGTGGTCAACAATAGCCGACAGACAGTGGTCCATGGTGGTCAAAGGTTGGAAGTTATCACGGTGTCTTTAGTCTCAAACAATACTGAACTTTGACTCTTTTTTCTCCCCCTTTAAGTGAATAAAGGGATTCTATTGATAGCTTTTGGGGAGGGACATTTTGGTCTTTTGGTGAATAACTATCATAACCACTTGATCGAACATCCTACAACTACCCGCTTCATCAAAAGGATTTTATTTTATGATTTGAGGGCCTTGATGTCCTCATAATTGACTGATATTGAACTTCTTGGCTTCTTTTTGTCAAGACACTCAATTAAACTATATGTAAGTCAAATTTAGAGTTCATTTGCTCATTCAATTAATGACCCAAGCTCTTAAATGTGGTTTAATGGCTTGATCCGAGTTAGATTGGTCTTGGATTGAATCAATTTTGGCTTCATTGGGTTCTCTTATCAAGACAATCAATTTGATTGTAAACTTGACGATTTTGAATTTGAATCCAGAATATTTATTGTTAAAAAAAATCAAGAGATATATGTCAAATGATAACAATTTGTTCATGTCGCATCAGTTACTATCTATTTTTGGGCGATGTTGCTTATGACATTAAAAAAATAAAGACGATTCAAAATTTGTATTTTGAGACGTTTTTATTTTTTCATGAATATTTTGTGAGTTTTGATAAGGTTGCAGTTGCTATGCTTGGGGGTAACTAAGCTGTTGTGGTTCAAAGACAACAGTGGTGGCCAACCATGATACTCTTGTATTATATAGTGACCGTAGGGAAGAGTAGGTGTATGGAGGTGAAGTCATGCATAAATGGGTGCGTGTTGATGTTCATACAAACAAATGAATACAAATATGTATTTAGAACATTATGGGGTCCAAAGGAGAGAATGAATACAAGTAAAGATGGCATGGTGCATGCGAGGATGAACTAATGCAAGCGTGGAAGAGACCACGCGTATGTGGGCGCGTGCATGTGTGTTCACTACTATGCTTACAAAAGTACTATTGTGGGTAGCTGAGCGGGCCCGTTAGTGGAACGGGTTGTGGAGTACGAGCACAATCGAGGGTTGGGTTGGGTCGTAGCACAGGTAGCAAATGTTTGCACGGGCATACCAGGTTGGATCGATTCATGTTGTGGGAGGCAAGTTGTTGTGTTGGCTTAAGGACATTGCTCAACGAGCCGAGAGCCACTCTCGTGAGAACGAACTGGACGTACAATTTTGAACATGCTTTCGTGCAAGCATCCACACTCATGCGTGTGTGCATGCGCTTGCGCATTCACAGACAATTTTGGAGCAAATAATTTTGAATTTTTTTGTACTTTGGAGCTAAAATTCTTAATTTTGACCTATAAATAGAGCCATTAAGAGAGCCAGAAAGCTCCCCTCCTCTAGAAGTCGAAGTTCCTTTCAAACTGTTGTTGTCCCACCTAGTATGTTGTTGCTTAACGACATTACAGTTCTTTTTAGGCTACTCTTTCCTCCCCTTCTAAGCTATTGTTGCCCAATGAGGTTAGTTTTTTTTAGGTTGCTATTGCCTCACCTTCTTGGTTGATGTTGCTCAACAATGTTGAAGTTCCTTCTAAGATGGTGTCGCCTGATACTTTGGGCTATTGTTGCCAAATAATGTAAGAATTCCTTTTAGGAAATTTGGGCCTCTTTAGGGCTATTATTGTCCAATGACATCAAATTTTCTTTTACATTATTGTTTCCAATGAAGACATAATTTAGTTTAGGTTGTTGTCTCACATTTTGGGTTTTTGTCGCCCAACAACGCTAGAGTTTCTTTTAGGTGGTTGTTGCCTCACTTTATGGGCTAGCGTTGCCCCATCTTTTGAGTTGTTAGTCACATCTACTTGGATGGTGTTTCCTCATCCTGGGCTGGTTTTGCCCCACCTCCTGGTCTTGGTGTTGCCTTAGCTCCAGGGCTATTGTTGGCTCTTCTCTTAGGCTTGTGTTGCATGATGTAAGAAAGTTTAATCCTTACAACATGCTGCCCAGAGAAGACAAAAATATTACAATACATGAGAGGCGTTGGGTTTGGTGGCATGCCCATGAGGTACCCTCTATGAAAAACTAGTTAGTATGTTTCTCCTTAGAAAGACTTCATGAGAGCAAGTGGTTGACAAAGTTTCTATTCAAACCAAAGCCACAAGACATCCACCACAACCCACAACACAACCACCACAACCCACATCCATCACACCACAACCCACATCCACACACAACCCACAGCCAACACAACGGCCCGCAACACAACCCCACAGCCACCATACCGCAAACACCCAACCACACCTCCACACACATCCCATAGCCACCACACCACAAGACACAACACCCAACCACTCAACTCTCGGCACAACCGTCACAACCCACAACACAATCACAACAGTCCACAACACAACCACCACAACCCACAACACAACCATCCAACCCACAGCCACTCAACCACACCTCCACACACATCTCGTGACCACCACACCACAAAACACAACCCACAACCACCCAACCCACGCCATCATACTGCAACCCATAGCACAACCACCACACCACAACCACCCAACCACACCCCTCCACATACTACCCACAACCACCGCACCACAAGACAGCTTAACAATCGCCCAACCCACAACCACCACACCACAAACACCCAACACATCCACCACAACCCATGACACAACCACCCAACCCATAACCACCACATCACAACACACAGTACAAGTAGTTCTCACCACAACACAATCACAGCACAAGTACTCATCCCCACCTCACAACCACAACCACAACCACCACAACACCACCCAATTCACAATAAAAGTCATCACCACATTAACAATAAAAGAAATTCAACACTAATGCAAAATCAAATGAATTGCAAAAACCAAAATCACATAAATTGCAAAATCCAACAGCAGTGAACAACATGACGAAAATCAACGACCAAATAGAGCTCAGAAAACAATCGCAAAATCATAAGGCCAAAGTAATGTTAGAGAAGAACGAAGGATATACGGAGAGCAAAGAAGCCAAACAGAAACTAAGCACAACCAACGGATCAAACAAGAGGAGGCGAGCGGAGATCTTACCACTAGGATGACGAGAGAGAAGCTCGGTTGCGAGAGACGCGAGGGAGAAGCTAGGTCATGAGAGAGTGGAGGGAGGAGGTTGGTTAGTTAAAGGCGGTTGAGAAATTAATAAAAAACATAGAGCGCATGTTCGGGTGTTGGATAGTTAAAGGTGGGTGAGAAATTAATAAGAAACGCGGGCCGCAGGATCGAACCAGCGGTCTGCGTTTCGTTCAAATTTTTTAAAAACGTCCCCCACGCCGCATTTTTCAAACAAACAAAAAAAGTGTTTTTGGGGTTGTGCCGCATGAAAAATGCAGAGCCAAATGGCCCTTTTGTTTAGCATTCATGAAAAAAAAAACATTTAAAATGAAATATAAAAAAATTAAAATAACCAGCTTGAAAGCTCCAGCCATACTATTCCAAAATACTTTGGACTGGATACAAACTCCATTAAAAATTTAACTGTAGATACCTCTTAATATTAAAACAAGTTTTTTTATTTAAAACAAAGAAAAAGAAAGAAAAAAAATCATCAAAAATGATCCCCTCACATTTTGTAGGAAACATTTTAGCCCGAGTAAGTAAAAGTGTCAATTTAGTCCCAAACTCTTTTAATGAGTGCTATATTTGAACCTATCTTAAAAGAGTCCGGATATTAATTTGACATTTTTATAAACTCTTGTACTAAAATAGCTCCATGTAAATAGTAAAGGGACTATTTTGGCACTTCATTCTAAATGAAAGTGATTCCACTTTGAAGAATGCCGGGGAGTTACCTTGGCGAAGTAGCCCTACTGAAGTGCTTCTTGAACTCTTTATTCAAATTTTCATCATTGAAAAGCTTCCTATATCCATCAGACTTGGCTTTCAGCACACATTTAACATTGCTTATCAGAGTTTCTTCTCTTTGCATATCAGAGAATAGCATCTGTTTCTTCCACTCCAGAAGCTTGATCTTCTGCTCTATTTCTGTAGCTTCTCCAAAAGGATTTGGTACTCCATGGGTGATGGGAAATTTTATGCTTATATCATTTCTGATTAAAACGAAGAATTATTTTAACGAAAACTTTGATTTGAAGAGAATAGAACACATATATGCTTAAAAGGAAGATTTACATAAATACCACTAAATTCCTATGTATCATTAATCTAACTGAAACTTCAATTTTCACATTTATGTCACCTTACATGAAAAGAAGCAATTTTACTTTTTGATAGTTAAAATGGTGATATGTTTTTTATGTGATATAAAAGATAAAGGAGGTATAAACGTAAAAAGTAAAGTATAGCTATTAGATATGTAAATACATTGGTATTGTGTGGTATGTATATAAATGCCCTTTGATGAAATAGGGAATGCAGAGTGATGAAAGAAAGCAAGCTGCAGGAAACATGAGCACATTATAGTTGTTCCGCGTGTGAGATTGAAGAAGGTTGGCTATACTTTAGCTATACACTAGTAGGGCTGCCAATTATGCCCAAAATTCAATCAGGCTAGCAATAGTATTAAATATATATATATATATATATATATTTATATTAAATGCATATATAAAAAAAAATATCCAAATTACCAATATTTAAAAATAATTGTAAAATTAATAAACCTGAACAGAGTCAACTCAAATTTTGACTTGGAAACTATCAATTTCAACTTGACTCAAACTTGGTCAAGTGTTAGACCTAAATATTTGATTTTGAGTTGAGGCCTAATGACTCAAACTAGACTCAATATCACCCAACATTTGAGCAGTTGAAAAAAGCAGAGTCCTGCACAAACTCCCATGGTTTTAGTAGGAATTTTGAATTCTCAAAATCTCCCATTTCAATGGACCGTCAAACAAGCTGACCATAGGCATCAGGCTTTAGGTTTAGGCTTCTGTCTTTCATCTCTCTCTCTCTCTCTTTCATCCCTTCTACTATGTTGGCCTAATCTATATATTTAATGAACTATTATCATTTTTCATAAATAACATTGGATTCAGCATACATAAAAATTATCTTATTCATATTGTTATGTCAAACTATAGAAAGTTAAAATTTACCAGCTATGATTTAACAGCTATTATATTTATCCATATTTTGTTTAGAATATTAATCTTTGCCTTCAATTTAAAATAAAAATTTTGGACAATTGGGGAAGAATGTTGCTATTGCCAAATGTTGTATAGCAAAATGCTTCAGTTATATGAGTGGCCACGAATTCAAAAAGTTTGGCAGATGTTAATTCAAGACATATTTGGTATGTTTAAATCTCATTTGATAGCAATGTCAAAGTTAAAAGCGTTACATTAAATTTAGAGCATGAATGTGTAAGCATATGAAGAACTTGAACAATATATTACCCAATTATATTTTAATGGTTTTTTTGATGAAATCGTTGAAAACTTTGGTCTCAAACAATGTAAGAGATGCCAACATTTTTTAAACTAACAGATATGACATGGTAATAATTCTGATCATTTGTGGCTTGCCGTTGCAAAACAAAGAAATCTCCTTGTAGGAAGGATACATTGAAATCTGATTGTCGGAAGAATAGCCAATTATAAAGCTAAGCATTTGATGTTCAAAGGCGATATCAAAGAGTTGATCAAAGTGAGAGAGGGTAAAGCAATCTTTAGGATAAATTTTAAGGACATTTAGCCTGTGGAAATTTAAGAAGCTTCAGGTAGTGTTTCCTGGAATGAACCGGCAGGCTCTTCAAGATCTTATAAGAGATTTGATTAGAGGTCAATTTGGAAACGTTTCGATTTGTGTTTACTCCTTTCCTATTTATGTTTCATTATTTTTTATTTCAGAATCATTTATTTTCTTAATTTAAGTTAGATAAATTCGATAAGTTTATAAATTAAGAGAGATTGATTTTCCTATATTTGTACCTTACATTTGAATAATAAAATCTAAGTAATTTTTTTTTCCCAAAATTTGGTTTTCAACCTGGTATCAGAGCCTCCTTCACCAGGTAAATATCTTTCAGAGCCAGCTTGCACGCTAAACCATCGAACTATTTTTTGTGAAGAAACTTTGTTAGAATATTTGCTGCTTGGTCGTTAGAAGGAATATACATCATGCAGATATCTCCTCTATCAATTTTTTTTTGATGAAGTGCTTGTCTATCTCTACGTGCTTTGTTCTATCATGAAGGACATGATTGTGGGCGATGACTATGAATTTTTAACTCGAGAATTCTTCTAATCCATAGAACTTCACTTATATCATGAGCTATAGATCTAAATTCAGCTTCAGCGATGCTTCTTGCCACGAAACTTTGTTTTTTGCTTCTCCAGGTTACTAAGTTTCCTCCTAGAAAAGTGTAGTACCCTAAGGTTGACCTTCTATCTGTAACACTCCCAGCCCAATCTACATCTGTAAATGCTTCTACCTGTAAGTGGTCATTTTTCTTGAACAGCAGTCCTCTTCCGGGCGTTCCTTTCAGATACCTAAGGATCCGATAGACAACCTCCAAGCGATGAGTATTTGAAGAATGCATAAATTGACTTACCATACCAACAACAAAGGCTATATCAGGACGAGTGTGTGACAAGTAGATTAGTCTTCCCACCAGTCTCTGATATTGTTCTTTATTAACACCATCTATTTTATTTGTCCTTTTATTTGGTTCAATTATTTGGTTCAATTGGGGCATCAGCTGTTTTGCACCAAGCATTCCAGTTTCATTGAGTAAGTTGAGTACATACTTTCGCTGATTAATAAAGTCGCTGATTAATATGATTAATAAAGATCCCCTCCTTAGATCTGACAAAGTTAATATCGAGAAAGTACTTTACATCTCTCATATTTTTAATCTCGAATTTTGTGGTCAATCTTTCTTTCAATGTCACAATTTCCCTAGCAACATCTCCTGTAAGGATAATATCATTGACATAGACGAGTATAGCGAGTTTACCAGTTTCTTAATGTTTGTAGAACATAGTATGATCATTTTGACTCTGAGTGTATCCATACTTTCTAGTCACCTTTCCAAACCTCTCAAATCAGGCGCGAGTAGATTGCTTGAGCCCATAGAAATCTTAAGCCCATACAAGGATTTCTTCAATTTGCACATTGTCTTCTCCAAACTTTTTTCTCAAATTCTGGTGAAAGATCCATGAATACCTCCTTCTCTAATTCACTTTTTAGAAACGCATTTTTAACGTCGAGCTGATGTTATGGACAGTAGAACACGAATAAAATCGATTTTGGCTACCAGAGCGAATGTCTCCTGACAGTCAATTCCTTGAGTTTGAGTGAATTCTTTTGCTACTAATCTAGCTTTATATCTTTCGACACTCCCATCAGCTTTGAATTTGGTAGTGAAGACCCATTTACACCTAACAATAAACTTATCTCTTGGTAGAGTGACAATTTCCCAGGTTCCATTTTTCAAAAGAGCATTCATCTCTTCCTTTACTGCTATTCTCGAATTTGGATTACTAAGAGCTTCCTGTATTGTTCTGGTTTCAGACAGATTAGAAATCCATATTCATAACCTCTGAATCTTGAGCTTCTATTAGTGAAAAAAGTAATATCTGGATTGGAAATTACATGTGTTTCTTGAGGACAATCATTCGATTCTTTAGATTATGAGGGGGCTAAAGATTCAATTTGAACATTTTGCCTTTTATGGAGCCTCTTCTTGGAAAATATCAGAGGTTTAGCTATTTTATTATGTGATATTTCTCCCCCTGTATTAAACAAGATAATTTCAAGTGTCTTTCGACTAAGATTCTCCTGCTTTTTATTTTTACTTTCAATAATTATTTCTGGTTCTTTGTTTTCACGGACTTCAGGTGTACTTGGTGTTAGAACAATTCTTAGTAATGAATTAAAAACTTGTCAAAATCATTTACTCCTGAAGTGGATTTTTGTGAAAGAAGTGAATTTTTTCCATGAAGATCACATCCATACTAATGTAAGTTTTTTTTTGTGACATGATTGAAAAATTTGGAACCCTTTTTTTAAGCATATCCAATAAAAATGCATTTTTCAGGTTTTGGATCTAATTTTGATCGGAATTTATTCGGAATATGAACGAAACATGTGCATTAAAAAATTTTTAAACAAATTTTTGAAGACATTTGTAGAATTGAAAAACTATTTTTCAGTTTATTTAGATGAGTTGTATATTGTAAAACTCGAGTTCACATGCAGTTTATTAAATATGATGTTAAAACAGCGTCACCCCATAAATATTTAAGAACATTCATTGAAAACATAATAGCCCGAGCAACCTCAAGTAAATGTCTATTTTTTCTTTCAGCAATTTCATTTTGTTGTAAGGTGTCACGACAAGTAGATTGATGAATTATATTTTTGTTTATTAAGAATTCCCCTAAACATTCATTAAAATATTCAGTTCCATTGACAAATCTATGGATGTATATTCTAGTTTCAAATTGAGTTTCAACCATGTTGTAAAAATCTTTAAAAAAAATTTCAACTTTTGATTCTTTGCTTACAAGATAAACCCAACATATTCTGGTGTGATCGTCAATAAATGTCACAAATGCCATTTTTCCAAATAATGTTTTGACTTTTGAAGGTCTCCAAACATCATTATGGATCATGAAAAAAAGTTTTGAATGATAATATGGTTTTGGAGCAAAATTTATGCGATAAATTTTTGTTAAATAACATGTTTCACATTGATGTAAAGCACAATTAACACCATTAAAAAAATTAGGAAATAAGAGTCTTAAATAAGAAAAACTTGAATGACCTAGTCTAAGATGCTTCCATTATTTTTTCTAATGTAGGGTTTGAACTCATACTGTTGTAAGCTTGAATCCTTTTTTTTACTACGAATGGTCTCTTCATAGTAAAGTCATATCTTTTTAGCTCTCTCAATCATCATCCCCGACTTATGGTCCTGAAAAATACAAGCAGATTCACAGAAAATTACAAGACAGTTAGAATCCTTTGAAAATTTGTTGACGGATAGAATGTTACATTTGAGTTTTGGAATATGGAGTACAGATTTAAGACATATGCTCTTAAACAAGTTAATGTTTCCTTTTCCAGCAATAAAAGAGGA